ACGCAACGAGCACGTCGGAGACCTTCGCAGTGTGAAGCTGGAGTTGGCGCACATTTTTTCATGCAACTGCCAGATACGCTGCAAGATGACATTTGCGCAGAATGCAGGGGGCGCAGAAGAAAGGTCTGCAGGAACAGGTTCCGGGTTCGCGCAGTGCGTTGACGGACATTTGGCGGGCTGGGTGGCAGGAACCTGAAGGATGAAATGCTGGGACGCTCAGAAATGAGCTTCTCGAGCCCAACCTCCATCTAGGATCCAGCTTTGGGGGCGTGCCCAGAGTCATTTTGAGGCACACTTTTGCATCCTAGCTTGCCAGCCTCAAGAACCTTTCCCGGAACCTTTCCCAAAAAAGAAATCTTTTACCAGAAGGGGCCTCTGTGCAGCGAGGCTTGGTGATTCCGGTTTCCTTGGCGCATGTCATTGTTGTTTATCATTCGCCCCGAGAATCAGCTCAAGCTGTGGATCTTCGACGAGCAGCGGTCTGTGGTTCTCACAAACAGTCGCCGGATTTGGGTCAACAAGTGAGCCTTAAACGAGCTTTGGAATGAGCCTTCTATGGAGCACTTTCAGTAAGGAGCATTTTACCTTCAAAGGAGCTTTGTAACAGCTTGGGCCAAGACTTCAATACCAAGTAAGGCTTCAAAGCCAAGTGTGGGTTCTAACTTAACATGGAACATTTAGTTCACTGGTCACACCCCTTCACTGCGGCTCATGGCCATACCAAACCTGCCCAAAATATGGATAAGCTAAAAAACCAGAAGCCAGGAGGGAACACAAGAACAAACCATCACATCCTCGAGGAAACAAAAAACCAAAAAAGAGAAAAACAGACTCTGAGGGAAAGTGTGGGTTTTGCCAAAAGCTTGCCGTGTTTTCTCAATGTGTTTTGTTTCCCCTGGTGTGTTTTGTTCTTTTGGGTAAAAACCAAAAGCCCGGATGGTTTCGGGTTTTAGTCAAAAGTGTTTTTCTAGTTTGCACGATTGTTTTGTTTCTAAGTATTTTTGGTTTCCCGAGTTTTTTTTAAAAAAATCTTTGGTTGTCCCGAGTTTTTGGTTTTAGAGCAAAACCAAAAGTACTCGACGCAGTTTGGTGTTTGGTCATATTTGATGGAAAACTGCGAACAACTGCAAAAAAACACCAGAAAACCAAAGAAACAACAAGTTTGCAACTCCGGGAAACCAAAAAACCCAGCCCGATAAAAACAAAACCATGTGTTTGTGGCCAAACCAGAACTGTTTTTGCGCTTTTTTGGTTTTCTCAAGAGTTTTCGGCTTTCCAGTAAATATGACTAGAGAGAGAACCATCGGGTATTTTGGCTTCTACTCAAAAGACAAAAAGCAAACCCGGGGAAAACCACAAAAGCAAAAACAATTCAGGAAAGCAAAAAAGGCAAAGTTTTTGGCCAAAGTGTTTTTGTTGTTTGGGGTTTTTGGCGGTGTGCATGATCTTTCTCGATGTTGTTCTTCATTGTTTCTACTTGGACTACAACATTTGCTAAAAGCAGTGTTGTTTGGATGCAATTACTAGGACATCGAGAAAACTTGCGATTTTTGGTTAACTATCTACAAGTAGCGTAATGCAAATCCAAAACGGATTCCGTTTTGCTCTACATAAACAACACAGCGTGATTTACATTTGTTTAGGCACAGCAACAGAGATTGTTCATGGGGCGGGGTGACAACATAAATATATATATTTATTTATACGTAAGAATGTTTGCAACTCAAAAAAAGGCAAACACGACACAAGAAGAGCGTCGGGCGAAGCAAGGCAAAGCATTGTGTGTGTGTGTGTGTGTGCATTTGACTCCCTGGGTGCTGCTTCCTTCTTAGTCATTGTGGAAAGTCGGATGGAAGCTTGCCGTTTTCTGCGACACCCTTCAGAACACCTATGTCAGTGATTGCGTAGTAGTGCTTAAAGCACCAACCACTTTGTCGCAGAAAGGGACCACAGAGAGGTTGATCTACTCGGAGGGTTCCGATGGATTTGCATACCCCCGACCATGTCAGTGTGATTTGTGACTCCCAACCAACGCATCCAAATATGATCATAATTCCCTTCCGAAACAACTCATCCTCAAGCACGCACAGGCCTGCATGGAGTGCAGTCCAAGGCCACAATTCGGAGGGATTTTCCGCCACAGAGGTCCAGGAGCCACTCGAAGTGAGGCCTTCTCGTATTGGGTTCAATGTTCAATTCAAGGCGTGGGCGTGCGCCTAGGACGAGGTTTTGCTGCACGCGTTGTATCAGCTGGGCGCAGCTCTCAAGGAGGAGCTTCTCGCCGCGCTGGAGGAGGGCGATCGGATCGATCGCCGCGCTGGCATGCAGCAATGCCCCAAAAAAAGCTACAGACCAGAATGAGGTCTTGTTGTAGGGAATGCTTGACTCAGGTTTATATCCTAGTTTCCCACAGGAGCTGGGATTGAGCAATGCTCACACATCAACTTGTGCAGACACAAGGCTCATCCACAGAGTGGAGCTGCAAACTTGATCATTGACCGAGAAGGGCTCTAAAGCTCAAATAAGGGCAATGATAAGTTCTGCGTTGAGCGAAATCCCTATGCACATCCAGCGGCAAAAACGATCCAGAAAAAGTTTGCGCGTGTCTTGGCGCGGCCACATCCGATGCAGGACTTGGATGCTGAGCAGCAAAGCCCGCTGCGTAGGCTCGGGGTCCCACGACGGAAGCCGGCAAAGGCACGACTAGAGGTGGTCTTTTCTTTTTTTTGCGTTTGAGGACGAAACGAAAAACAATCAACACGCCCGAAAGGGACCCCATGTTTTTGAGTCGGATCCAGATGTTCACAATTCAACGTGGTGATGCAGAGAATCTACAATGTCTTGGCACCAAGACAAATCAAAATTGCATTGAGGCATCGGAAGCGGATAGAGCTCCTGGGATGGAATCTGCGTCAAGTTGCCCAGCAGTAATGTTGCAAACTGTCAAGTCTTCAAGAAAACAAGGGTTTGTCTTTGTTTGGGGAACCCCCGAAATGGCGGTTTTCCTGTTGGTTTCCCTTTGCCACCCCAAAGGGAGTTGCCCCAAAAAAAACACACACAGACACACACGCACAAATCAGTCCGTTGCCAACTGAGCTCGCTGGAAGGGAGACTTTGGGCATCTCTTGGGCAACCTAACAGACCGCCCGCCTACTGACCCAAATCAAATCTGGCGAGCAGATTGGGTCGCAAAGGAAGGCACAGGAAAGGGTGCATCACACTAACATTCTTGTCCAGGGACGACTCATAGCGAAATAGACTGCAGGTCAGTGTTTGTGCCCAATTGGGCGAAAGCAGGGAGACCGGCAGATGTTAGGCGGTCGCTCCACGATACCATTTCAGCATTCCCATGGCAGCATTTGTTCAGCTTGATATCGAGGTTTGGGTACAGTTTCGCAACATTAATGCTGGCAGGATCCTTCTCATTGCAGAAAGCCCATGAGTTTAAGCATGATTGCGCAACAACTCGGAATACGGATTCATCTATTGCCACGATGTCGATTTGCAATGCTTTCCTTTCAGTGCCATCCACAGGCCCCTTTGCCGAAAGCCCTTTGCATGTGTTTTTCCAACCGCTCTTGCTCGAATCAACACTCAAGTCGCCATGCCCAAGATCAAAGCGACCCTCTGCTGGGTCCTGCGCAGGTTCCTTCGGGATTTGACGAAGCAGATGCGGACCAGGCCGCCACGACCCATTCGCCTGAGCGAGTTCGGCGTTCACCCAACAGAAATCACAACTGAATGGGGACACCCGCTTCTCATTCAGGAGAGGGTAGGGGATTCATCAATCACAGATCAGGGTGGTTGGCATTCTTATCCGTTCGTTCCAGGCATGCCGTATCCACGTCATGACCGATCTACGGGCTTATTCAGCAACTCTCAAATTCATACTGTGTCCATCTGAGTGTGTCAAAGTTGATTGGCAACCAACCGGCTGAAAATGGCTGGTTTGCCATTTCCCGTCAACAACCCAAAACGGCTAGGAAGCCAGAAACACATGGGTCTGTCTCTTTTCGAGGTTACACCTTGTCTGGCGTTCAAGGGAAATCAAAAGGAAACCTCTTTTCTTTTGGGTGGCGGTTTCCCAATTTAGAGACACCCACATACCTCTTTGACTTCAGGCTGAGCGCACGGGAGGGTGTCCTCGAGAGCGCCCAGCTGGTACGGATGCTTTGGCAGGCGGGGGTCACAGGGCTATGTCCCCCAGTGCCCTTTTACCGTTGTTTTTTTGGGGAGGAGGGTTCCCCTACTAACATAGACTACAATTCTAACCTCTCTACTGGAGGACCTAGAGGGTGAAAAAACGCTTCCACCCGGAGTTGGGGGTAGTTATTAGCTTTGATGTGCGCAAATAACCCTCCCATCCACAAACATGGAACCTCACAGAAAAGTCCTGGACGACAATTTGTTGATTGGTTCGCCGTGGACCGGCGAACTCCTACTGTGAAAGTCCCTTGCTTGTGAATTCCTGAAAATTCCTGAAAGTTCCAGTCGATGAATACTTGCAATTGGCCCAAGTACCAAACAGGGTCTCCGTTTGATCGACCCCGGGCCCGAAACAGATGTAGCTGTTGTGTTCGGCGACCTTCGGCAAAGAGAAAGCGCAGCTATCTTTGGAGGTGCGTTCCAGAGGAACAATGTGATCCTCTTTGACCAGTTCGCTGTTGTCAATGCTTCCATAATTAAGTCGGCCCCACCTCTGTGCAAAGATATGCGTAACATGGTCCAGAATGGGCATGTGCAAAGTGGAAATTTCGGAATCTCGGACTCGCCTTCTTTAGTTGCAGAAAGCACGGAAATGAACCCTTTGAGGTAAAGGACGGGTGAGATCTTTGGATTAGTTTGCGACGCAGCTTATCAGCCAATCAGCAGATTACTGCATGCATCTCGAGTTCCCTGCCCGTTCCTCTTTTTTTGATTTTTGCGAATTTAAAGAGGGACCAGGAGCCCTGCAGCCCGCCGATATCAGACATAAACATACTTCTAGCTCATAAAATGTGACAACATGCCCAGCACGATGCCGTCGAAACCATATGTTTCGTCCCATGCGACAGCTCATTTCGCGGCCGTTGCATTCCTCTTCGTTCTTAGCTTCGATTCGATTGTGGTGGACGCCGTCGGGGTGAAGCTGACCGCTCATCAGCAGATGCTCAGCGACCTTTGGGATGAGCACTGCAGATATGAGTTCGACCCGGCCCACAAGAGCACCGAGAAGACCATGGCAACCATGGTGGCTGAGCCCTACGTCAACCATATTCCCACCATGGTCGGTGGGATCGGAAAGGAATCGCTCTCCAACTTCTACGAAACGCAATTTATTTTTACCAATCCTGACATGACGCTAGTTCCAGTTTCGAGGACTGTTGGGGCAGACTCCCTGGTTGATGAGCTGATCATCAAGATGGTCCATGACAAGCCCGTCCCGTGGTTGCTTCCTGGCGTCGAGCCAACGGGCCGGCCTCTTGAGTTTGCATTGCTGGCCGTGGTGCACTTCGAGCCTGAGGAGATTGAGCCAGGGGCAGAAGTGAAGTGGAAGCTACGGCATGAGCACATCTACTGGGATCAGGCGAGCGTTTTAGTTCAGGCCGGCCTGCTGAATCAACAGGGTCTTCCTGTGACGGGGGTTGAAGCCACGAGAAAGGTGGTCGATCCGCACTCGGAGCCGTCGAATCTTCTCTTGGGCAAGAGACATCATGGACAGAGCAAGGGCGTTTTTACGAGCCTCTTGGATCATATCAAGGAGGCACTGAAAAGCACACCGGAAAGCACAGACAAAGACTTGTAGATCAACGCACCGCATCATTGATCAGGTCAACATCTTGAGCTCCACAGCTGGCGTGTCAGGATCTTATTGTTCTGATTGAGTTCAGCAAGAGGATTTCATCGCTGACTTGTGGCTCCCTTGCTGCTGATGGGACCATAGCCATCAAACGTGAAACTCAAAACCATTCTTTCTGGGTCCTTTTTGACATTTTGGAGACAGACATCAAAACACATCTTCAGCGCGATCGTACAGTAACATACAATGAACAGCACCAGCTATGTAAGCTACCCTTCAGATTTGCTTCCGCTAGTGCATTTAAGTTTAAAGCTGCGCACATTGCAGCTTTGACAGGCAAGACAGTGCGAGATAAAAGTGAGAGATCACATTCCTTGATGTAGGATCCCCAACTTTTGGGGCAAGGGTTCACCAAATCCGGTTGAGCACAATGGCGAAACCGCGCAAGGGCTGTTTGTTTTTCATTTTTTGCGAGAATGTTGCCAGCTTGAGCATGTACATGGCAAGGAGGGCTATCCAAGCGGGCCTGCCTTGCTGCCAAAAGATGCTGAATTCTGAAGCAGCTCAAAAGCAACCGGTTTTCCCGCCTTTGCTTGAAGTTGACAGGCAGTCACACAGCATCCATCCACAATGTGCAGAGACGAGCACATTAACAGCTCTTTTTGCAAACTGCATCATGAGGTGCCGTTGAATGACCCACATGCCTTGTGTTTGGTCAAGATTCGCCTTTTGTTCTAGGATCTATTGGTGGCAGATGAGTATTTATGTGTTGGATGCACTGAAAAGAAAGCATGGAGCCGAAACAAACTGCAATTCAAGAGAAATCTCCATATCGATGCTGGCGTCGGCTTCCATGCTGGTCAGGTTGTTGGAACAGCCGCCCGGTAGCTTCAGTGTTCCCACCAGTGCGTTCGTGTTCCACTATTCTTTTGTTGGGTTCTAGTCGCGCATTCGAATGAAAGATGCGATCGGCTGACCTGAAGCCAGCTTGTTGCCAAGATGTTCGCGCCAGCAAGGCTCTGAGGGCGCAAAATTCCCACATTCAAATCAAGCTTCGCTGTACCTTCAACTAGAAATAATGGATCTTTAGCTCTGAACAACGAGATCTGCGTTGCTCGAGCGATTATCAATTCAGAGATAATTGCGCTTGTGCAGTGTAATGTCCTTACTGTATGTGAACGGTTGAGGCCAAGATGTGCACTAAGAGATGCCATAGCCGGAAGGCGTCAGCATCCTGGTAGTTTCTATGCGCGGTCCCTAGCTGCTCCCCAACGACCTTCGTTTTGGCTCAGACGTATGTCCGCGGAAGCTAGTGCATTGCTTAGCTTCGCTGGGACGGGGTTGAAATAGTTGCCCTTGTTCAACCAAGATGTAAAGGAACCAACATCATAGCTCGATGTGTTTTTCATAAAGGTTTGTTGGCATTGATCTCCTCACTGAAAGATTGGCCAGTGATTTCCTTGTGGCAGGCCAGGCCTCTGGCGTTGGCTTTGCAGATGCGCTTCTCTGCGGCTCTGTCCGGGCCTCGTGTCCGGAATTCGTATATATCTTGTGGCGAGCATTGCAAAAGCTTCACTGTTGATTTCCAGGCCTTGTCAGGTGAGTAATGGTGAATTCACAGTTTACCCCCTATTGTGCTTTGCTTGCAAAACTGCATCTCAACTTGGACTGAGGCTCCAAAGAATTGAGCAACGAATTGAGAAGTGGAAGAAACAAGTACGGAACTCGAGAGATCGATTTATTCAAGTAACCCTTAGTTGGTGGTTTGGATTGATGGTTGGGAATTTGAACCTCTGCGTAACACAGTTTTTGTTGTTGGAAAACGCGGAAACTGATAACGGGAGGCTTTTCTCATGATTCCGGATGTTAACGCCCACGCCGCGGTTTTGGCAGGATTGGCCGGAGCATGTGACGAGACTATTTTGGTTTGTGAATGTTCACTTTGTTCGCAAAAATCCCGTGCAAAATTCCTTGGCCTTGAACACTGTTTTTTGTTGGGATGGTTTGATATCATTGTTTCATAATCAATATTATAGGAAATATAGTATTGATATAATTGTAGTATAATGAATTATTTATATTTATATATTTTATTAGAAATAAATATATATATAATGAAATTTATATTATATATATATATATTGTTCATTACATTATTATTTCGGTTGTTTGTTAGAAAATAGAATTGTTGTGATTAATATATTTTTTGTTATTGATTAATTTGAATTTAATGATGATTTGATATGATTTGGGAAGATTAATGAATTGTTTAAGAAGTAACGATAAGTAATTTGAATATATATATATATATATATTATGTTTATAAATTGGAATAATTTCGAGAATGTATTTGTTGTATATTGGTAAGTCGTTGTAACGAAATTCCGGCCGAATTATTGTGTTGGCGGTGAAAGGTTATGTTTATTTTGATATTTTTTTCGTGGTGTGAGTTTTCGCTTTCGCGCGGCCTTTAATGTTCGTTGTTTTTGTATTTTTGTTGCTTTTTATGTTTGTTAGTATGTTATTGTGTGTTTGTATTTATTTATTTCGCAATTTGTATTTTTTCTTTGTTTATGTTTATATATACCGGTATGGCATTGAGATTGTATTTCTTGTGCTCCGGCAAGCCGTTGTAGCGGTACCTCCGGCCGAATCGTCGTCTTTGTGACGAGTAGTTACGTTTGTGCCGTTTTGTTTTTTTTGTTCGTGGTACAAATTCTTGTTTTTTTTTTTTTTTTTTTTTTCATATGACCCGGAAGGTCCCGAAATTGTGCCAAAAAAATCGGGGAATTTTTAATAATTTTGTTTAGGTCGTAATCCGGCCAAATTTTCCCGAATTTCGGGTCGCTTCCGACGACGCGGTTCTTAAATTTCCGGACGTTATTTCCGTGAATTGCTTCCAAAAAAACAGACACGGACATGCGGAAATAGACAGAGAGACATTAAAAGAAACAATAAACAAATAAATAATAAAATTTAGAAGCAATCACAATTTCTAATATATCTATTCAAAAACACACACACACACCCCTTAATGCCAACACAAATACACAACTCCAATATATAATTATAAGCTAATTATTTTTTAAAACCCATATATATATATATTCCAAGCTTCCTTAACCCCCCCCCACCCCCCCCATCCCCCCCAATACTCATGTTCAAACGAGAAAGCAGCACAATATAACCTACAAGCACCCCGTCCCCCTGTAAGATAAATAAAGAGTCCATAGTTCCCACCCCCCCCCCCTATCCCTATAACAATAAGAGACGAAGAGAATAATCGCAAAACCCCCCATGGCCATAATTCCTATATCGACCATTAAAATAACATGCAAAATATATTTACCCCCTATAAAGGCGGGAGAAATCAAAATTCCCCCTAAATAAATCCATCTCATAAAAAGAAAGAAAAGGGGGGGAATTATAAATAACGAATGACAAATATATATATATATATATTATACCAATATTCATCAAACTAAATAATAACAATAATAAAACAATACATCCTATTCAAATCAATCCATAAATTACATTACAAAATCTATAAATACTAAAAACAAACAACACAACACAATTAAAAAACATCACCAAAGAATCCAAAAACGAACTTAACAACCATACCTCATTCAATTCCAAATTTCAATATAATTTCAGACAATAAAAATAAAAACAAATTCACACAAATATAAACAAAAAACAAACAAAACAAACAAAACAACACAAACATAAACAAATAACAAATACGTATAAACTAATATATATATATATATAGTATAACATTATTGTATACAATATAATACAGTGTAGTATATTTCATCTAATATTATACGAATATCCTATCATACAACCATATCATTCCCTTTGATTTTCTGTTGATTTCTTTCTTCTGAGGTGTATCAAAAAGATTCATCGCCGATCCCCGTTTGGGGATGTTCCAGCACCATGGCTTTTGGGAAGAGCAGGCAACATAAGCTGACTGCCGTTGGACATTTGGCCGCGTGAGACTTGCACTCGGCTCCAATGCACATGCACGAATTAATTGAACATCAATCATCCTCATCGTCGCTGAAATCGTGCCTCACAATCTTTCCTGCATGATTGCAGCAGTCACACTTTCATGCTTCTCCGTGCAGCTCAAAGGTCCTCGGCTCACTGGAAGCTTTGTTGCTGCAGGTGCGGGAGACTGTGGCCGGGAGCCTCAGACGAAACCAAGTCCCGCATCTGTAAGTGCAAACCAACGAACGGACAAAGCAGCCAGCTAGCCATCCAGTCAGCCAGCTCACCGAGGGCTTGACTTGCTCGGGTGCTTGACATGGCACTCGACCTCTCAATTTGTCTCAAGCCGAGAGGGCAAACACTTGAAATCATCTGCCCAGGGCCAGGACGGTCGCTGCCGCGTCTCCAGCACAGTGAAAGCACGTAGAACCTAAGAATGGCTGCGCCTTCATCTTGGATACTTCTGTCCGAACAATTGGCAACTCAGGCTGTGACGTGGTTGGTCCGTTCTTCCGCTTCTGACACAAGTTCTGAAGCACGCACCTGCGCTGAGGTTGCTTTCTCCTGATTTTCACTCTGCTCTCCGCCTTGGCCAGGCAACCCCGCATCTGCTTGTCTATGATGTAGACAGTCCTGAAGAACAAAGCAAAGGATTGGATAAACAAGCTATGGCTGCTTCTGGTGAATCTGGATGTGGCTCAAAATTTAGGATCATTTTTTCCCCCTGCAACTGGGGCTTGGGGGGGTGCATTCGATTTTTGCGCCACAGCCTTGTCAACACGCCTGCCTGCTCTTCCTCTCCACAATGCGAGCTGGCATCCATGCTCCGTGGGAGGAGGAGTAGTAGGACACTTTCTCCCCAACGACATACCTGAAGGAGGCCACCCAAGACTCAAAAAAACAACAGCATACACCATGTCCGATTTCGACCCCCTTTCTGGTTGCCAAGTTGCTCAAATGCTGAGTAGGAAGGCTCCTGCCAAAGAAAGCCCAGCAAACATCATCAACATCATCCGGCACCTTGGGGGGCGGTTTTGGTGCTCCTTCCAAAAGGCGGCACCTGGGTTCGACAGGTCTTTCGGGGGACCCCGCCCAAACAAAAAGCGGGCTTCACCTTTGAAATCACAAGAATAACATACCCGTAAAAAAGCCACAACCATATTATGTTTGCCCCATCTGACGTGCGCGAATGGCATGCAGCTCCTGCGGCGGTCGAGGCCTCAAAACGCAAGCAGAACAGCAGTTGCCCAAAGGAACCAGAAATAAAAGGTTGACCTTTAGGAGGCATGACTACAATTGGAGCATGGGAAAACCAAAAGGTCAAAAAAGGTCGGCTTTGGACAACTGAGCAAACCTTGTTTTGGATGGCGATTTGAGGGGCTGGCTCAGCCAATTGTTGAAGTCGGTCTGACGCTCCCTGACAGGATTCATGCACGCGCAGCGCATGCAGTGAACGTTGCCTGAACGTTCTTCTTGGTCGGGCTCTCCTCAAACCTTGGAGAGAAGTGTTCAGTATACCGGGTGACATGGGTTCAAACAAGTATTCCAGGATGCTACACTCTCACTTAGTGCCGGCTAAATCCCGCTTATTTTGCTTGCCCTTGGTCGCCAGCACTTCCACGCGTTCAAGCTCATCTTCATCCAAGACTGGCTTGTCCTCCTCCTGAGCCAGACTTTCACAGCGCGAAAGGTCGGTGGAGCGCTGCAACTTGCCAGAGTCACAATCAACACCCGGTATCAGATTTGTGTTTAGAATCAAAGGGCTATTTGTGGTTGGGACTGTCCCCCCAAGCTTTGACCACTCAGTTACTCGGGTTTTGATTGCTGAATTCAATGCTCGGCTCCACCTGCTGATCCTTCACTGGAGCCTGACAGAGCATGTCGCAAACATCCCACTACACCCAATACTTCTGACCAATACCAATACTGCCGTAACAAGAGAGTATCGGAAGTAGGGGGGTACAAGGAGCCCGCGCCTGTGTGGTGCCTCGTTTTCCGAGGATCTCCTGCTCGAGCATGAGAAGCGTGTCAGTCCTTGGATTCCGTCATTTCGCAGCAGTTGCGGCCATTGGTGTCAACTTCAAACCACAATTTTCATCGGCCCTTTATCGGCATTGAGGGTCAAAACCAATGGGATCCCATTTTGGGGTAAGTGAATTCACCTCCCATTTTAGTCTATGTTAGTGGGGATTGGGATGTTCACGGGTCCGATTTGGGTTTTGACCCATGGCCACATGGCAACCACCTGCCACTTGAGGTTGGCGCTCAGGCTCGAAGCCCCAGCCGCCTGCAAAGAGCATCTGGATGGGTTCCGATTCTTCCGCCCAGGGCGTTTGCATCGCAACTCTCGGGTGTTTCTGTCTACCTTAGTCAAGCACTGCATGGATGCCCAGCACGCAGATCGACGTGGAACCCCTCAAAGCAAAACCATAACTTTTACAGGACTCTTCTTTTGGGGACCCCCTTATTGGCGTTCAAGAAAGACAACAGCCTCCACCGGGTGAGCCTTCGTCCTCTGTCTCCTCGGGCGCGCCAATGAATCACTAAGCGCTGAGAGAAATGGCACACCAACGTGCGCGAGATCTGTGTTCGGACCCCCGAAAATGCAAATGTCCCTTTCAAGTCTCTTGAAACGCCCTCAAACAAACAAGCAAATGGAAACCACTCATTGTTGGAGGGTTCATGCCTTCGCTTGCTTTTTTCACCTGCTAATCTCTAATGGACACAAAAAGGGACACTGACCCTAATCTCTATGAGTTTTAATGCGGGTCAATCTCCAAAATGATGGACAATCCCCAATGATGTCCACCACAGGGTCTCTAATTTCACTTGCCCTTTGCGGATCCAGAGATAAAAGGTGGACCTCCTGGGATCTTCACTAATGAAATGAATCCCCAACACCTTGCCTCTGCAGAAAGTTTGGGAAACAACCCTTGATTTCAACCTAGGTCCTCCAGTAAGGGTACCATTTTTCTGTAGTCCATTTTAGTAGGGCGGTTCCTCCCAAACCAAAAAAGGGTGACAAAGGGCACCTAGCTGGGGGACCTAGATTCAACCTCTGCAAAAAAACAACAACCTTGGAGGTCTTCAACAGGGAAACCCCTTGATTTCAACCATAAGGTTCAAGTCTAAAGCTCCAACCCAATGGCAAGCCGTTGACCTGTTGACCTGTTGACCGCTCCACCCCGGCGCCTCTTCACAGAGCGCCTCGGCCTCTAGCAGCCACGGGGACATCTGTCCGCCCTAGCGCGAAAAAAAAAAAAGAAGCCAGGGGACAGGTTGCAGTTTTTCTAGGGGTTGATTCTCGTTTCCCATTCCATGATTTTATTTTCATCCATTCCAACTGGCGCAGGAGTTTGTTCATCCATAGGGTGCCGCTTTTAGATCAGTCAGGTGGTTGGTCTTCGATTCTCATTTCCCATTGGACTCCATGGTTTCATTTTCGCAAAAGACTACCTGGGAGCCAAGGACCTGGTTGATAGTTTCTCTAGGGGTTGATTCCCCATTCTTTTCAAGCATCGTTCTTTTCAAAGCTGAATCCCCAGGGTTTTTGTTCAAGGAGGTGTTTTAGAAAGCAGGATGCTTGGAAAGACTGGGGAAGGTCCTGCTAGAGTTTTGGGTTGGTTTTTTGCTGGCTTGGTTTGGTTTTACATCTGTGGTTTTTGGTAGTTCTTGATGTTCCCTGCTTTCCTTGTGTTTTTTTTGTTTTTGGGGGGGCGGGGGGATCTTGGAAGACTCACCCGCTGCCTGGGTTCTAACAAACAGGCTCTAGAAGGCGTGTACCCATCATGTGTGTAGCATCCCAGAACCCATTTGCTACAACCCATGTAGGGTCAAGCTTTCGACCCCAACCAGAAAGAATACCTTTCAGTTTGAGCCTGGCCCATTCTTTAGCCAAAAAGCAGCCCAAACACTTGACTGAGAACAACACCCAGCGGCACAGTGACTCTGGCAGGAAAGGACAACCCGTTTGGGGGTTGATCCTTTTTGGTGGGAAATCAACCACACAAAAGGTCAGTTCAAGGGTGTCAATGAACAAGCAGGCATGACAAAACAAACGAAGGAAAGAACAGAGTGGGGCCAAACTCTTCTTTTAAACCACTATTGCTTAAACATCCTTTTGCTTCTGGGGGGACAAAACGTGGTTCAACCAAATCGTGCCCAATCCCGGCAGAGCACAACAGTAGCTTGCCACTAAACAGTGTAACAGGCCCTCAAGGAGCGAGGCAAACCAGCACAAAAGGGAGAACCCCTCAAAGCCCCTCTCAAAAACCTCTCAAACCCGAAACAACCCTTAAAACCTGCAAACAAAACACCACGAAAACGCCCTTTTGATCCGCCCAGAAAAGCAAGGGGGTCACATCCACATGTCTTGAGTACCAAAATCGGTCCGGGCCTTCGTGACTGGCGAGGCCACCCCGGAGCTGGCTACGGAGGCATCCGCCGAGGCAGCGCCGCTGGCCCCCGGGAAGCCCGGCGTGTCCTCCGGCCGCATTGGCCACTGAAAGAGGGAGTTGGACCCATGCGGGGCGAGGGAACCAGAAAAAACACACAACAAAAAAGCGCCTGAAAAGGGGTGGCCAGCTCCAAAACCAGTGAGAGACATGGTCAAATTGGGTGTTTGGTGAGGAACTTTACAAAGAAGAAGGGCAAATAGGTGCTACTGAACAAGCGGGCACACACACACACAGCCATTGGACCCATATGAGGTACAGTCAACAAGTTTTGCAGGTTTAAGAGGGTTCTATAAGTATTCTAAAACCTGCAATAAGCCTTGGACCCCCAAGCAAAGGACCTACATAGCCCCCAAATCGGTGGGCTAGGCATAGCGACTCGGTGCCAAGCGGCAAGGCCGAAGCCAGGCGTTCCGCGGCTGTGTGCTTGGGCAGCACTGCCACCGAGCCCCCGTGTGAGCTTCATCCTGCCGGCTTTCCCACTGTCCCGGACATCCGACTCTTGGCTCACTCACGTTCTGGTGAGGGAGGCACGGTATATACCATAGATCCTAGGGGGAATGATGCTCCAAAAACAAAACACAGGTGCCATTTTGTGTGGGTGAAGGTGGGATGTGCGCAAATGTTCCATACCTCACCCATTTGGGCTTGTGTAGAGCTTTCGGGCTTGCGAGCTGCCTTCACATCTTTGGAATGCACTGATGGCTGTGATCTTAAAATATCTCCCAAACCTCCGCGGGGGATTGGCTTCACCCCCTCCCCCCCTTGGTCTTTGGCGAGAATTTGCGGCACTTCCTCTGGCGCGCCTGGCGCCCTGCTCAGCCATGGAGTCCCGCTGCTCCTGCGCCGAAAAAGGCGTGTGGGTGTGGTTGTTTGAGCTTGAGGTACTCTTTGGGGGTCGGCTTGAAGAAAGACCACGGCGAAACCGCGTATTTTTTGGGGGTCACCTTATGATTTTGACGTGCAAACGCAGAAACCCGGACAAGAACCCTTGTGAGGCTTGCTGATGTAGCCACATCCTGTCCCCAACCATATACCACGTGGAAGGTCGGGTAACTGTTCTGTTTCGCTTCCCGAACCCACCCAAAAAAACAACCCTCACAAAAAGGCACCAACAGCCCCTCCCCCCTCGCCAAAAACAGAGACCCCCTGAACAACTTCCATTTGCTGGAGTCCGCTGGACCCAATGAGAATATATCCAGTAGTTGCATATTCCCTTTAAAACCAAGGAAACATACATAACACACATATTGTATATTCCCTTCCAAACCAGGAACAAACAAAAACATCTTTAAAAACAAAGCATCCATTCTGAGCTTCGCAACTGGAAGAAAGAGGAGTCACGCATTTATGGCCGCTCCCTCGCTCCTCTCGGAGGTCCGCGAGGTCAAAGGCCGCACGCCCGGGACTCCCGCCTTCGCGGGAGTGCACCGTGGTGCCCATGCCTCGCCGGGCGAGCCCAACAAAAAACGACGACGGACCTCTTCCTTTTTGTTGGTCCACTCGGAAAAAAACTGAAAACATGGATAAACATGGAATCCATTGGTTTCCTTCGGGAAAAACACGATTTGCTTGGGGGGGCCTTTGTTGCTTCACGCGTTCTTAGGTGTGGTCTGGAAAAACTGAAAACATGGAATCCATCAATGACTTTGTGTTTGTTTCCTTCAGGGACAAATGTGTTTTTTTGGGTGTGCCCTAATTGTTCCCCCAAAAGCCGGGCCTCAAAATTGGACATGGAACCCCATGTCGACCCCACAGTCATCAGCCGAATCGGTGGATGTTTTGGGAGCCGTTTCCCCCAACCCCAAAAGAAAGAATTAAAGATGTACCTCTACATGCGGAAACCCTTCAAACATAACGGGGCAGCTAAAATTGGTCTTCCAAAAAACATAAGATTGAACAATGCTTGTGCAAGTGGCTAACCAGTTCCTTGGCCAAGCATCCAAGCTTCTCCAACCTACAAGTGCTTGAAGAATTAGAATGGGGGGTTGGTATCATGAAACTAAAAGGGGGTTGTCTCATACCAGGGGACGCCCAAAATAGTTGGTCATACAATTCAGGTATTCATTTGGAGCTGAGATTTGGGGAAAAAAAAACAACGCGTGTAAACATCAATCGAAACGTCTCGCCTTCAATGGCCCAAACCATGTGATGCTTAAATCCACCAAAACGGGAAACATCGATTTAACCAAAACGTGTTTCGCAAACTAGTGGTCCTCCAAACCACCAAAAGAACCTGTAACCCCCATCTTTAATGGGACAAGGTTGATGCTTCAAACCACCCTGTCGGAGCCATAGTGAAACTCCCTTTATGCCCTTGGAATCAGTACAAAGCTGAGCCCATGACAACAACTCTGTTCAGCTGAGCCCATGGGCTTGATAGTTCTGGTGCCCATATTCGTTCTTGCGGACTAAAATCAGCATCCTTACTAGGTCCTCCAGTAGAGAGGTTGGAACAAGGGTACCCCTTTTTTTCTGTAGCTTCTTAGTAGAAGAACCCTCCCAACCACACTGGGGGACCTAGTTTGAAAAGCCTGGTTTTTCAAGACAACGGTCTCCCTTTGCTAGGCTTGACATCATGCCAATCCTGCTCCGCACAAAAAGCAAAGTGTGGAACCCAAAACCCCAACCAAAAAAGGGGTGAGAAAGGGCACCCTAGCTGGGGGACCTAGCACTTACCAGGTGGATGGACCATCCCTGTTGACTCCGAGCACGCGCCTAGTTGGCCGCCGGCGCGCCAAGCTGCAGCGCCGGCAAGGCGTGAGGGCGACTCGGCAGCCGACTCGGCAGGGGATTCACCTGGGCCAAACGGGGGGGCTTGGAGCCCAAATGGCTGTGGGTCATTTTGGGGTAGGTGCACCACCCATTTTAGTCTATTCTAGTGTTGATTGGGATGTTCACTGGAAGTACAGGCTTTTGACCCATGGCCAAATGGATTAGGACCCCAATCTTGGGTGATTTGGGCTACAAGATCACATAGCGCTCCTCCCATGGCTCGGTCTTGCCTTTGGCTTCCCACCCCAAGAAGGTACCCAGTTCGGCATGGTTGAAGCGCAAAATTCCGGGGCACACAATCACGAGTGTGTTTTGGCACATCTAAGAGGCGAGAACCTCAAAGATATCTGTATGAAAGTACCTCGGCATTCAAAAGTGGGACCTCTGCTACGCCCCATCCAATGACTGTTTTTTAAACGATGCTCGAAACAGGAGTCCAAAAAGCATCAGTGACCGCAAATGGAAGAAGGAGTGCTTGGAGGTGTCTCAAAATACGGGAACATAAAACGTGCTTGCTTTCCTCTTGGCTTCCCTTTAAACCCGTCCAACACAAATCAAAAGGTTCCACAGCACCGTGCCACTTCGACCGACGCCTCGCCTCTGGGCGGAGCTCGCGGTGTGGGCTGCGGAGACAGCGGCACAGGCTTTGGCGGAGGGCTTCTTGGGAAGCGCCTGCCGAACGTGGGGACAGTTCGAGAGCCCAAAACCTCTTCACGCTTGGTGCTACTGGGCAAAAGGGAGACAGTCACACTATGCCTAAGAAACATTAAGAAACCACCAAAACCCAGTGACAACAATTGGAAATAGGTCTTGGGCGCACTGCGAATCTCTTGTCACGATCTGATAGTCTTAAACCCAGTTCCCCCTAAAAAATCAGCTCCAGTGTTCTTCAGTCCCTCAAAAAAGGCTAGTCTTCCATTTGCAGAACGTCCCCCGAAGAGAATACACATATTTACAGTAGTGCCACAGGATAACAACACATAGGAAGCAAGTGAAGTAATTGATGAAATCATGATACCACCTTCGAATTCTGAGAACTTTTCCTGGATCCAACGGTCAGCACTGAAACATAGCGTGTAGCAAAACTGCAAGGTTTCCGCAACGACTTGAACACAAGTGCCTATGCGCAGGGCCCCATGTATGGATGATCTCAACCCCCGGTTTAGTGGGTGAGATTTGGGGCCCAGTCTACCTTGCAGTGGTCCCGCTGTGGCACCTGTGCTGCATCTCTTTGATCGTCTCTTCCCGCTTGATGCGGCAGGCGTTGCGACCCCAGCGTGCCCACGTGAGAAGCAGCAACCTGAAGCGCTCGAAAAAAAGGTTGCCTGCCGCTGCAGTAGATAAGCACCATTCTGCAACAGTTGGGATAAACAAAACTCTATGAATACGTGGATACACCACCTACCAACTGGCGCAGAATGTCATGTCTTTCCACAGTTACTCTTTGGGAGCATATTTTCACGAGTCAACCCTCACTAGTAGCAACCCCTGGCAGAGGCGACTCGCTGACCAGATCACTCTTGGAATTGCCCCCGCAGCATCCGCAATCCTTTCCGGGGTAGACATCCCACCTTCAAGGCGTGTCTCCAAATTGTGTTTTTGTTTGTCTTCCTGAAAGCCAAACACCTGGCCCCTCAAACCCTGAAAAGATGGATCCCCTTGTTCAGTCCAAGCTGATCCAAGCGTGCCCTCAAGCGACCAACCAAGAATCGACAAGACCAGCGCGAACCAAGAGGCTGAGTACTGGTGGACACCTCCACGTTTGGAAACAGCGCCTGACAAAAAGAATCCGAATGGAGCTGCAAGGTGGGGAAAAAAAAACACGACACCTCACATGTTCCAACGAAAAGATATGTCACCTAAAATATTTTGTTTGGAGGGAGACACATATGCCATGGTAAAGGTTAGTTTGAGAGTGGCAGCACTTTGCACAACAATTGCAGAAATTGAAACCACACACACACACACACCCTCGTTTTCCTTGAAGTGGACGGTTGGGCCTTTTCAAGGTGGTCTTGCAAAACCCTCCAATCCACTTTCAAAATGTTTGATCCACGAACAGGAGCCCGTAGAATGTGTCATGTCCCAAAATGTCCCCATTATATAAAGGTTCATGATCGTCCTGTCAACCCCAAGTACTATGAGCTTCGGATTTATCTGGAGGACTTCCCCCTTTCTCAGGAAATCAGGAGAAATTCAGCTTGACATACCTCCGATTTAGTATGGCCCTCGGCTTCATCTGAGGTTCCAAGATGGTTCCCACTACCCCAAACCACTACCCCTCGAGGGCTTAGTGGAGTAACACTATTCTTGCCGCTTCAGGGTATTTACTTACCCTTTTTTTCCTGTGGGTGGCTCTGGGCAGTGGAAACCGTCTTACAGAGGTTGACATCGTCCATCCTGCGGCAGCGCTGCCAGTGGAGCGGAGAGAGGCGAGGTGATCTGGCGAGGCAGCTGGATTCGGCGCAAGTTCTACAAGGAAGCTGTCGCATCCCGGATCCCATTGTGGAAGGAACCCAGAGACACCCCGCAGAGTGCAAAGTTCTACATGAATTCCTCAACGTGAAATAAGAATTGGACTCCGAAGTCATTCGCTCGTCCCCGGACCGGTGGGCTCGATCTTTACAATAGGCAGATGTCCCGCCTCGTAAAGCGGCCGAGCAGTTTGGACGACCTGCCAAGGTTGGATAAACAGCGGCATTCAGTTTGCATCGGAAGGACTGCCTTGGGCATCTTAGGCTCCGTGGATCTGTTCTGGCGCTCTGGTGGCGGCTGTGGTAATGCCTGCGGCAACAGCACAGCTGCGTTTGTTTGCCGTAAGAAAAAACACAGACACCCATACCAGCCCATGTCTTTGTCCAAGACAACGGCCTCGGCTGCTGCTTGTCCATCCTGCATGCATTGGCACAGCTGCTGCCTAACATGCTGTTTCAACGAACTTTGACGGCCCATCACTGCCATGTAGCCCAGCAAATATAAGCACACAACCACTGCAAAACACCTTCGTGAACATGGCTCGTGGCTCTGAACATCGCAAAGCAACAACAGTTGCCCCGGCACAGCTCAAACAAAAATGCTCGAAGCGCTCCTCGCTGTTTCTCCTGGGCGTGAGCGATGCCACAGACCGTAGCGTGGCCTCAAGCGCGCAAGCTGGAAACAGCAGCCATGGCTGCAATCAGTATCAGGTCAGAACCATAGGTGTCCTTTTTAGGTTAGTGTGTTCAAAAATAGAAGGCACTAGTTTAGACGAGGTTTATTCGATTTACCAGGGCCATCTATTTTTCCAAAAGGACACCTATGGTCAGAACTCTTCAGGCGATGCAAATGCAGATGCCTCCATTTCATCATCGTCCACACTATCATTGTCTGAGGAGTCCTCCTGTGCTTCAATTGGCGTGACATTGTGGGAATGCACATTGCTTGCTGACCTTGACGAGTTGCCTTCTTTGAGCGCAGAACCCTTTTCACGATTTAGGAGAAATGAACAAGGAAAGTCACATTTGTTGGGGCCAAAGCCATATTTTGACACATCACCTGTGGTTTTTGAGAAGCCGAAGGGAAGCCAAAGCCCTGGGTGCATGTGCTCCTCCTTGACTTTCTCTCGTCGAACCTCTTCCTGCTTGGCAGGCTGAAGCTCCTGGCAAAAGAACGCGGATTTCCCAAACGAAAGGGCTGACTCCTGGACTTAATTGAACATGCACCCTGCAAGTTGAAAGGAACTGCTCCATGAAATAGTGGTGGGTCCAGAGTGGGTCTTTTCTTGGCGACCCCCAAAATAGTGGCTTGCTTTTGGATTGCTTTTCAAGCTACTAAGCAAGAGGGGTACTCTCAAAAAACAAAATGCACCCAAAGCAGTGTCCCTCCGAACGAAAACAAGCAAAAGGAATCGCCTTTCCAGGCGCGCCTCGTATCTCCCAGCCTCGGCGAGCCCAGCTCTCGCTTCGGCCGTCTCGGCTGGCTCCTCACAAGTGGCAACTTTGGTGGGGGACATCCTAAGGGGCCTTCACCAAAACTCTAGGGGTACCTTCCCCATTCTTTCCAGGGATCCTTCTTTCCAGAAAACCTCCGGAAACCCAGGGAAAATAGCTGGTTTTTGAAAAGAACGATGGTTGAAAAGAATGGGGAATCAACCCCTCGCCAAAACTATCAACCAGGTCCTTGGATCCCAGGTAGTCTTTTTGCGAAAATAAAACCATGGAGTCCAATGGGAAACGAGAATCGAAGACCTCAAACCAGTGAAAATGCATCTGTTTCCAACCTGACTGATCTAAAAACGGCACCCTGTGGATGGACAAACTCGTGCGCCAGTTGGAATGGATGAAACCCTACCTACGAATTTATGGGCAAAACAACCAGCTGCAGAATTGTCCCCCGCAGTGAATCCGCTTGCATAACTTCCATAGGATCCCCCCCCTTCCCCCCAACCCTCCTTTCCTCCATTCTTCCCCCCCTGGCCTCCTCCAAACTGGGCTGCCCTCGGATCCCCCGCAAAAAGTCTAACTTTTAGACGGTTAAATGGACACTACCACTAACCACTAAAAAGTGAAAAAGCTAAGAAACCGGATGGCCTTCGGGAGCCACCAAGCAAAGACGACCTGAAGTCCTGGTTGAGGTCTTTGGAGGAAACCAGGCGGGAGCTTGGGCTTTGGAGTTCGGTCCTCCGGCTCTGCATGTGAGGTCTCCGGCTGTGGTGGAGCCTCTGCGGGCCTCAGGCTGCATGAGACGGGTGTGCCTTTTTTAAAAGGGGACCTACAAAATGGTGTGTCTTCCTTTGGTTTCCCTTTCAAAGCACCCCAAGAAGGGTACCCTCTAAAGAGACACCCCATATGTGAGCATGATTTTCAGTTGGGGACCTTGCCGGACATCATTTTGGTGGGGATTCATGTCCACATGTGTCCACCAACCAGCTTTGAGCCGGTTCCAACTCTTGAAAAATAATGGTCAAACTTGTGTGCTTGTTTAAGGCTTGCTACCTTTAGGGTTGGTGTTCAGGGAGACCAAAGAGAAACCAACATCCATTTTGGGGTCAATTTTTTTTGACACATCGCTTATCGCTTGAGCCCCCAACTTTGAGGTACGGAGTTTCCAAGAGACTTCAAGATGAGTGGTTGAAACTTGGTCCCCCATGTCCTCCACAAAATAAACAATAGACTACCCGGACTCTGAGACTTGCCTCAAAATGGGGAACCACCCCATCAGCTTGAGGGGCCAGGAATAGACTACCAGTCACTTTGTCAGAGGCTCTGCGCTCGCTAGCCTTAGGAGCCGGCACTCCAGGCAGCTTGGGCACCTGTGCGAATCTATCAACTGAAGTCCTACATGTGCAGGGGGACCCTACTTGTCAGATACTGTTTGTTTTTTGCCATGTCCAAATTCAAGTGTCTAAAAGGAAAAGGGGAGCAAAAAGAAACCTCCCATTTTGGGAGTTCGTATGAGACAAACCAACCCAGGGGTCTCGGAACTCGGCTGAAAACTCCGCGCTCAGAATCCCAGTGGATTTAGGGACGCCCCTGTTTGTGGCCGTTGTTTCTAAAGGGAACCCTCCTAAAACAAGTGAGTCATAATCAAAGCCCGGTATTAAAATGGTCTACCCAGAACCATGTAAAGAATTGACAAGGCGGCCGCAGCTATGTATGGTTGGGATTGTCCCTTACTAACCTTCATCTACCCGGGTTTTGATTGTGGCTCAAGTGAACAAAAGGGCTCGCAACTCGCATCTGTCGCTTTCTGGCGCCTCCATGGCTCCGTCTCGAGGTCCTTCGGACTCTTTGCCTTCGGAAGCATCCTGCGAAAGGCGAGGATCCAAAAGACATGACTTCAGCTTGGTTGCTGGTGACCCCTCCACAAAAAGTTGAACTTTTTGTGGGTCCAATGGAAAAGGCCACTGTTTCCAACGGTTAGAGTCCGAAGATCCAACCAAATAGCCAGAAAGTCACCACACCAGTCTGTCTTTTCTTGGAGTTGGTACCCCTGTTTTGGTGGTTTTAGTAGGAAACCCAAAGGAAACCAGAAGCCGCTTCAGGGGGGTCCAAAAAATGAAGACACACATTCGATTCGAATCCGAGCACCACACGGAACCATCCGGCCCCGGGTTCAACTTGGAACACACCAACTGCAATAGCTGCGGAGGTACTCCAACCTTTTGCCTAAAACATCAAACAACCACCCTAGGGACTTGGACCGTGCAAGTGCCCAAATCATTCAAATAGGGTTGGGTACTTTAAACCACTTTATACAGTAGTCATTATTGTGTACGCTATAAAGCTTCTAGGGAGGTCCTTTTCACCCCTTTCAACCCCCAAACGCATCAAACAAGATGAAATTTGGACCTGCAGCAACGAGTCGCACACGGGTTCCGCCTTGGGCACCTCTCGACGCCATCTGTCTGGCCGCGAAGGGACGCTCGCTGGAGCCTGCGCGGTACTCTTTTCCATTCAGACAATGGGTAGATTCCACTCGTAAATGAACACCCTTTTTGGAGAAACAACCTAATACTTAGGGCCATCACCTTAAGACTGGAACCACCATCCATCTGCCGATTGCGCCTTGGCATCTGCGAAGGCCTGCCACATGCTCGCGTGCGTTCACCAGACCCCTCGTAGTACCAAGATTGGTACCTCGCCTCTGGGTGTGGTTGGGTTAGGGGTTTATCAATCCAGAGTTCCCATTAAGTAATGTCAACCTCGAATTACTCAGGGAGACCCTACTAATCAAAGGAACCCCTCCAAAATAGTTCATGCCCTAGCCATCGCTGATTAGTACGGACCTCCAGACTAATCCTAATCCGAAGTTAGCATTACATCGTTAGAAGGCGCTTGCACCAAGGCTTCATCTTGAGCCCGCGCCTTGCCCACGGACTGAGCTGATGGAGAAACAGCTGCGGAGTACCGAGCAGCTTTGGGAGCACACAATCCGCACCTGGGCAAGAAGGATGCACTTGCATGCTTGCATGCCTTCCACGGGCTCCATGTGAGACTTTCCGTTGGACTAGCCACCCATATGGCTGTGGGTCAAGACCCTGTACCTCTGAACATCAAAATAGGTGGCAAATGGATCGAAACAGCTTGAGTCTAAGGCCAGCGCCCCATGGACGCCCCGCGGCGACTGGCAAGGTAACTCAGAGGTGCGAGGTGTGTTGGACGTCGTTCCGAAACCCGTCGTTTTGGACTTCCAGCTTTCCCTGTCGAACATGCAGCCCTAGTGCTTTGCTTCCCTCCGCGTTGATGGAACCCACCTTGGTGGGTCTCTTTTAGGAAAAATCGTCTGGGTACCTTTTGGTGAGGCCCACACATTCGTTTGCTTGGGGGTCCAAAAGAGACGGTCTCCATAGGGTCCCCTCAGGTTGGACAAGAACTCGCAAGCCCCAAACATGGCCCTTCGGGCTTTGTGTGCGACCTTTAATGATGTCTTAGATCCACTATGCATAGCAAAAACCTCAAATTGCAAAGTGCGACTGTGATTGTGAACACCTGCCGATGTCATTGTCGAAAGACGGCAACAAATAGCGGTGTTGTGGGGTAAGACCTCATTAGCACACAAAACCAACAAACACGCATTGAGGGAGTCCCTGCATTCTACAGCAACACCACACGACAAACCCAGCATAAACAAAAACAAAGGCACTTATAGTCGTCAAGCAAACACAATAAACACGACAAAAAAAAAACAAAAAAAAAACAATGGAGCACCAAACACAACACAACAAGAAAAACACACACACGAACAGCTCACACACGAACAGCTCACATGACATGAATCTGATTGGCCGTCGTGTCACAAGCCAACGGCTCAGGCCTGGCTCAAGGCTGCCATTGCATGGCGCTCGCCCTTTTGCCAAGAGTGGGTCCAAGGGTTTGAGGAGTTGGGCTTTGGGGTTGGGGGAAGTTTGGCAGCTTGCACACTGATAGACACTGAAAGACTGCCCTGCTGCAATCAACCAAACACGGAGAAAGGGGCAGCTGATGTTTTTTTTTTGGGTAAAATTGGGAAGCTTGTTGCTGAGGCGGACTGTGCAAGCGAGCCTCATGTGCAACGCTCACAAGCGCAATGGAGCCGAGCTTCGAAACGGCCGAAGGCCACCAAGCGGATTGACTGCTGCGCCTTCTCTTTTGGCTTGGAGATGCAATCCCAAGAGTTTCTTTTGAAAACCGTTTGTTGAACGTCAGCGGAAACACGCTTCCTCACTCATGCTTTTGGTTGTGGACAAGTCACCCTTTCTGTGATACCAACATGACTCATTCAAACCGCGGTCACTTTGAAGAGTGTTCCCCTGGTACAGAAATGGCGACCTGAAACCATATCTTCCACCCTGCCCGCATTGTTGCCCCGCGTTTTTTGGACATTGGCACTTCAAATGCCTGCTCTTTGGCAGGGCATGATCGATAGCACCGGGGCCATCAAATCAGAACCACCTCTGGTCTCTAAGAAAAACCAAATGCATGGAGAGTGTTGAATGTCATTCTAACCCTTCCAACCAACAGCCAGGCTGTCCTAGGATTCAATCCTAACCCGGTGGCAAGCTGTACCATCCGAGTCCGAACCAAGCCGCCGCTTCAGCTCATGCCGCTGGATGGCGCACCTGGTCATCTCCAAGGTTGATCAATACTTTCAGCAACTTATTGGCTGTATTTTTCGGCATTTGTCGGTGGGAAGTCTGGACGACAACTCGTGCGGTTCACACTTGGGTCGGGAACCCCACAATGGAGTTGTTGTATCCATATCCTCCGAACTGCTGGTTCAAACCCCGGGGTTTGAACAAACTTTGGTTTGGGTTCCAGCCACCACTAACTCCAGCACATTGGCCAATCGACCAACCAGCCGCTCTGCTTTGACCAAACCGATTTGTTTGCCCGCACATGCCTCGAAGAGGGCAAAGGCCCAATTTTGACAGTTGATTCTAAAGGGACGCACCTCCAAAAAAGCAAAAGGGGCAGTAGAGCTCGGTGCAAGTTTGGTGTCGGACAAGTGCCTCGCGCCTCGGCAAGGAGCCGTTCGAACTCGGCTTCGACCACTGCACCAGTCAGCCTGTCTATCAGACTCGGCCAATCGGGTCGAAATGGTTTGGATGCAGCGAATCTGTGGATGCAGCGCTGTAGGACATTGAAAGATTACTGAAAGAACACTTAAGAAGAACCAAATATGGGGGAGAACAGGAGGACTCCACAAAAAGTGCATCCAAACCGTCCTCTCGGGCCGGCGTGCAACGGCCGCGCCTCTCATGAAACGGCTCTTCCTGGGCGATTCGAATCGCGATCCCAAATGTGAGAGCATCTGACCACAAGCCGGGCCAACGTTTTGGCTCCCAAAGAGGTAGGACACTTGTGCCCCGCCACGGGTTTCCGTGAGAAAATTGGGTCCCCCCCCGGAATTGACAGCAGACTACCATTCATGTTCCTGAACCTCCGACAGCCAACAAATACTTTCTGAACGCGGTCGCTCGCTGATCCTTTGCGAAAGTTACCTTTTCACTGGCAGCGGGATGTGGGACATATCCCTTAAAGCGCAAAAAGTCCAACTAAAAGCCCAAAGGCATAGAAACCGCCAAGTCGTCGGGGCCGTTGACCGTCATTGGGCCTGGTTCTTACTTGCTCATGTCTCGTGCAGCTGAATGGCTCTTCGGCCAGGAAAGCACCGCCAGTGGCGGTAGACTCGCTTCTGCTTTGGCACCTCGGCAAAACCAGCAAATTCTGGGCGCTGGTTTTTGAGGGTACCTCATGTTGGTTGGGTCTAGGGGAAAAAAAAACATGTCTGGGGGCCCAGTGTGCAACGGCTTGAGGGCAAATTACTAACAGTTCAACCTGCACCCATAGTTTTAGGTACCCTACCCGCCACTTTAGACCGTTTTGTGCCCATATGGTACCCGCCCTGATGTGCCCTTATGCGGCAACTTTCGGCGATCTGGACAAATGGGCTCACAACAAGCGTGTAGCTCAAAGCAAGCAGAACTAGACATTTCAGCAGCTGCTGGATGGAGAAGGGACTTTGCAAAAAAGAACAATACATTTGAACAGCCACTGAAGTTGACGCATGTTGAAACTGAGCTAATCACGTCCTCTTGCACAGCTTTGACGGATGCCTGCCAAGCTGAAAATGGATCCGAAACGACCTGGCCGAAAACACCACCGGACAGCTTGAAAAGCTGGAAGCGCTTGTCCGAGAAACTGGACGCCCTCGCACGCCGCAGGTACGCGTCATTATTTTTTCGAAGCTTGACAGCCCGGCTCGACCGGAACCGTGCCTTCTTGAAAGGGAAGGTGTCCATTTCCTGCAAAGGGCCCGAGGCTTGAAGTCCAAGGATGGGATCCCTTGAGCTAACGGGTCCATTTGGGGGTTCCCCTGGAAACATGCCAGCCAAAAGATCGAATCATTGTGGGAAACACGCTGCCACTATTCTATGAAGGGTACATGCCCTGTTGGTTCTGGGTCTGCAATGGTTTGGGGGTAGTGGAAGCCATCTTAGACTGGTACCTCCTGTTCAGGTGCTTTAACCCCTTCGTTCCCCCCGAACGCAACAAGGGACCCTTCAAGCTATGCGGACACATGAGCCACGGTCAAGAGTGTGCCCCAAGTGTAACTAGATATGCGATGAACGATTTGTACATGAAGACTTTGTGAGTTCCTCACTCAAGGGCATTTCCAGTTCTGGTCTTTGGAGGTATGGATGCTTATGTACCACCAATATAAGCTTGTAGCGCGGTATTCTGCGCTTATATAAGTGGTACATAACCTCCATATACCTCCAAAACCTATGCCTGGAAACGCCCTCGAGTCAGCTCCCCTACCGGACTCGACCAAACCTCACATAGGGTGCCTTGCGCTTGCAAAAGCTGCACCAATTTGGCGCCTCCTCGTCCATAACGGACATGGAGGCGGCCGCGCGTGCGGAAAACTTCGCTTGCCTAAGTTACCGTGCGCTTGACAAGTGAGGCTCTGAACCCCCCAAAGAATGGACTTTCAATCCCTCAAACATGGGATGTGCCCCAAACAATATGGGGGTGATCTCCCATTCTAATTCGTCGTTTTAAGGTTCAACGGGCAACTCGCAGCACTACATGGCTTTTTCCCTTGCCCAAAACACCAAGTGTCCAAGCCATCGGGGGAGCAACGCCAGCCCGGAACAACTCAACTGGCCTGATGATTGTACGGTCACACCCCAAGCGGTAGGCCAAAGGGAAGCAACGCTGACGTTGATAGCTCCCAGAAACAGTCAAAAGAATGACAGGCCTCACCCGTATCCTCCTTCAAAGGTTGCAATCTCTTGGCGTCAACCGAACTGCAACTTTTGGGGGTCCAAAAAGGAGGACATTGGTCGGACCCCCGCGAGCCCCGATGGACATCTTGGGGCCCCGGGCCACTCCGAAAAACTTGGGCAGTCAAAGTGCAGCACAAATGCCCCTCTCTCCTGGAGAGCAAAATGGATATGTGTTTTGGAGGGCAGCCTTTTCAGGCTGGTTTGAATGGAAGACAAACACAGAGTTTTGTTTTGGGTGTTTGGAGGTCCCCGTATCTATTTATTCTGACACAAAACCAAGTGGGACTGTTGGCCTAAATGGCGGTTTTTTCGAGGATACCCTGTCAATCCCCTTCAGAATTTGAGCCAAAAGCCAAGCCATTGGGAGCGGAAGGCGATTGGCCCGGTTCGTTTCGGAGCTCCGTCACACAGCACTCCGGGTGCGAGCAGCCTGCAGCCTGGCAGGCAGCTGATCTGAACAAGCTTGTTCTTGAGGCAAACAAATGCCCTGAGACACGCAACTCACGAAGCACAAATTGAAGGCAAGCCCAGCGCTTGCCTGTACCTGGTACAAGGTTCACCTTTTGGGACCTTGACTAAACCTGGGAACCCATGGAAAAACCATGGAACAACCAGGTTGGTCAGATCCGGTCGATCCGCTTTGGACAACTGAGACAGACGATAAGCTAGACCGTCCTCAGCTCCCCTGCTAAAAGTTTAACTCTTACAACTTCACTACACCTAGGTCCTCCAGTAGAGAGGCTAGAATAACGGTACCCTTTTTCTGTAATTAGTCTATTTTAGTAGGGGAACCCTCCCCCAAAGCAGGGTAACTGGGCACTACTGGGGGACCCAGACACCCTTCAAGACCTAAGGAATCCGCCTAAGGAACCGGACAGGGAACCGCCATCCGGTTAGACGATGGAAGAACGAAAACGTGACGCCGGCGGAGTTGCGGCCCCTTCGCTGCGCCTCATCGTGCAAGCCAAACTTGGGGTCCGCCTGGCCAAGCACCCGGGTAGCCAGCCCAAATCCTGCGGTGGGGAACCCCCCAGGAAGAGACCCTTGCTTCCAGTTGGTTAAGGCCCCAGGAAAATTTTGTTTTTTCTCCAGTAGTGATGAATTCCTTTCTTAAGCAAATGTGTCCCAGTTGACACTTCTTCACCTTTGGAAGAACTACCTCCGCAAATCCCATGAGCTTCATTGATACAGGGTGTCTGTTTCCGGCTGCTTCACAGCTTCATGTCTCTGCCCCTTGTGCAAACATGGGCGTGGCTTTGTTTGAGGGTACCATTTGTTGTTGCTGTAAAGAGAAACCAACAGGAAAACCACCAGTTTTGGGGGGGCCTAAATTAGGCACACCCATTCCACCTTGAAAACACAAATATCAAACATGAACTAAACTGAACCAAAGGCCAGCAATGCTCAACTAAATTGGCTCGCAAACACTCCAATGCCCATGTCTCGCCTTTGAGAAGCTTCGGTCATGCCGACAAAAGTGGTGCACACCGCTTGTGAAGACCTGGCTCAACGCGCGAAGCAGAGGCTCCAAAGCACTCCGTTCAGCTGGACCCTCAAACCCCATAACTTTGGGTTGCAATGTCCCATTTCGGATTTTGAGATGGTGTTTGAGGGTCCAGGTATCTAAATTAACACAAGCCCACTGCGGCTGAGCACGGTGGGTCCTTTTGGTATCTTTTGGTCAGAAGAAGCCTGACCCTCTGGAAAAGACGTGCTAATTCATCGCCACGCAGGCTTAGGCATGCATGCCGCCGCATGCCAGGCATGAACCGCCAAACAGCATCGACTGCGCCTGCCCCGGTGCAGTAAGGTTTGCAGCACCTGCTGAGGAACACATCTCGAGCAAAACAATGACGCGAAAACACGAAATCACTACTCGCGACATGTCACGGTGTGAAGTAAGGGCCAGGCTCTTGCCGTTGACGTAGAGAGCAAAGCGGTCCTGCCTACAAATCTCTCAAAAGCAATCGCTTCAAACTCAGTCAAATTCAACCTGAAGAATCCTGAAAAGGCCAGCAACATGGGTGTCTTTTTGGAGGGTACCCTTGTTGTGTTGGTTGAAAGGCAACCAAAAGGAAAACCCGGGACTTTGGGGGGTCCGAATCCTAGAAAAAGGCACACCCAAATGTCCGCCACCCTCCAATCATTGCACGTGGGAGCAAAACACCACCCATCGGCTGATTGGGATCTCTCTTGAAAGTGTGAGGATCCAGGTCTGCGGTCTCTTTTCGGCCACATCAACGGTTTCAGTCGCCGCAAATAAAGAGTCAGCGGGTGCCTGCAGGGCTTTCTGCTTCATCTCATTAGACGAGCAATTGGGTTCTTAAAACAAAGGACACATAAAGACACCCTCAAAATGGTGAACCTTTTTTTTGAAGGCAACCACAAGGGGTTTTCCAAGGAAAAAAGGCGGCGAAACACATATGCCTAGTTTTCAATCAAACGCCCAGCACGGCACCCGCTGTCTAGGAATCGATGTTGCCACAGCAGCTGTCACTCGTGCTTGGCTGGCACACCTGCCAGCGTTAGCACCAATTGAAGTGGCGGTTGCGTATGACTGGCATGCGGCAAACCTTGCCGCAAAGCTTCGAGTGTCGTTGCCTGCCTTTGCGCCGATAGTAGATGACGTACTCCTTGGGTGCCATACGGCAAAGTAAAGAGCGCTATGCCCCTTCCTTCCCCAGCCTTGCCCAATGGTCAGTCAGAATTGACCAGCTTGCTGAATTTCGGCCGAGTCTCCAAATATGTTGCCGCTGCATCATAGGCCACATATTCCCTGCATCGAGCAGATGGACAGAGGCACTTTAGGCTTTGCAGTGCTTGGGTGATTCATTTTCCAGTCGCTGGATTCCCCCATTCAAAAGTCGTATCCTGGGAAGTCCCAATGCAATTGCTGCGTTTGGTCCAAGCAAGCGGACCTTGAGAGATTCCTGGTTTCAACTAATCTCTGGCCAAAAGCTGGATCTTTAGTGGGATGTGTCATAAATCCCTCTACGCGAAGAAACACAAACAAATATCCATCTACCTATCTGCCTGGAGTCTGAAAAAAATCCTTTGACGATTGTGTGACCCCTATGGGCATGTAAGCCCACGTCTTGCGGGTATTGCGGACTTGCAACAAGTTGGGTTTCGACTCACAAAGTCCCGAGCGCGGCGCCTGAAGGTATTCTTCACCTTCAAGCGGTCGCCCACAGTGCTGTTGTAGTGCCCTTCCAGGACCTAAGGGTCCTACCGAAATTATGATCTGTTCTGGGTACCGAACCCTTTGGTGCATCATTTAGCTGGGGACTCTCACATTGCAGAGGTTTCCCTATGGAAAATCATAGCCAAATGAGCACTCATCAAGATGGTTGTGCAACTGTGCGTAGCAATGGCTATCCAAATTCAACCAGGCAGAACCTCCCACCTAGACTCTCCCACTCTGTAAACTTGGGATGTTGCCGCACAGTGATTCCTCTTGGACAAATCTAAACTTTTTCTGGAGCGGTGACTCCCCTTTTTAGGTGTAGTTTGAGTTTAATAATGGCAGACATATAATTTTTGTGGGGGAACCCTCACATTGAATTCGCCGGGCACCAGGCTCTCTTGGCAAACTTGGGCTTGTCCTTGTCATTGACGTCCTCGCGATTTATCTCGGCTCACTTCGGCGAATGGGAAGGGATGAATAGACTGGTTGATCAATAGGGTGCGCTATGTAAGAGGGGTTTCTGAGTTTCTGAGGCAAGCAAGGACAACTTAACCACCCGAAAATGTGTGCGGAATCTCCAAAACGGAGCTTCCTCCACAAAGCAGGGGTTTGCTTGGGTGTTTTCGTCTCAAACACATCCCCCGCCTTGTCCATGTAGAAGTGGCGCCCGCCAAGTACCTCTTGGAATCGCGACCGCCGAGAACACTCATTGGCTTCTGGTCCTACAGGGTCATAAACCTTGATGAAAGGCCTTGACCCAAAGTGCCTACCAGGCTGCTGGTTCTCAGGGAATCACATTTTGGGGCTTCCCTTAAAAACCAGCACAAAAGAGTAAGCACCAACTTATCTTTTTTTGAGGGCCCCCTCAAAAATCAGTGGCGTCCCTTTGGTTGCTGTTTCAACCAATCCACCCAAAAGGGTACCCTTAAACGAGAGACAGGCTATGATACACCCCTGGGTGCCAAATCCTTTTTGCCCATGGAGGCACGCGGCAAAGGGCGGCCGCCCGGCAGCCTGCGAACTCGCCTTTCTCCACCTGTCGCCCAAGGGACCTGGACCTGGAAAGAAGAAGTGCCAGCTTCTTTTCAGCGTCGATTCAGAAACACGTCAAGTGCCCGCTCTTGGAGGGCATTTAAAAAATGCTGGTGATCACCTGTTGGGGCCACTAAACTGGGCTGCCCGTTTTCGGCTCCCCCGCTAAAAGTGACTAACCTTTAGTGGTTAGAATGGAAACTACCACTAAACACTACAAGGCGAAAAAGCTAAGGGGATGGCTGGCAGCCACCAAGTAAAATGGACCAAACGGGAAAACTTCTAGGTTCATTAGGTCGATTCGCTTTGGGCAAGTGAGACGACTTCGACCAGCGGGGAAATCGGATGTGCGAGCACATAGTGTGGTTTCGATCGGAACCCGCTTAGAACCCGTACGATTGCCACTGACTTAAAGCACCTGGTGATGGCTTCAGCCAGGAAACATGTCAGCTGTGCAATGGCTTGAGGGCAGTGGACCCCTCCATGAGAGGTCTCATTCTGGCACCCATGTTTCTAGAATTGAACCGAGTGAAGTCGAGTGTTTTAGGACATGGCAAGCTATATCCGACGCAGTGCGTCCAGTTGCCACTAGAGTGGCTAACCAGCTATGTTTATCTCTAGGTTGTACATGATGGTTTCCAACCCCTCAGCGTAGCTTGCATTGTTTTTCACCTAGATACCAACTACAACCGAAAGCACTGTAAGCATCCCGCCTTGCGCCGCGCGTACTCGTCGGCCTTCGTGATGGAGTCTGCAAAGTAAGTCCCTGCGTGTGCATCGCGTCCAATGTCAAGGGAAACCCAAAGAAGGTTGCTAAACAACTGGGTGGTGTTAAAGGGAAACCAAAAGGAAAATCGAAGCCACTTTGTGCTTTCCCTCAAATAGCCACACTGAAGCAGTGATCGGAAGACCTAACAAGTGGGCCGAAGCCTGGTTAGGGGTGAACTTGCCGGACCCAGAACACCAGTCACTTGCAGCCGATCTCAACATCTAAGTTCATTGAAGTGGCATCCGCAAAATGCCCCCTCTTGACGTTTGGTTTGAAGGGAACCACCCAATTGATTTTAAAATCCCTTCCAAATGCCACAACTTTCAGTGATACCCTTACTCAGAAAGCCTCGCCACGGGTGGCCAACAGGCACCTAGCTTGGCTGCTTGAAAGGGAAACAAAGGTTGAACAAAGGGTGAGGTCCACCGGGAAACGGGGCTAACACAACACACACCACACGAGTCACACGCAAAACCTGGAAGTAAACTGCTCCGCAAATGCAAAGAATCGCGGACATCCACAAACTTGTTTGTGGCACGGGGACGCTCCCCTTCGCGGATACCCAGGCTTCGAGGACGTGCCAAGCTGATGGACTCACAGACCCCCAGCTCTTGGAACAAAGGGCTCACCCCGGTTTTTCGGCCAAGAAAAACCCTCCCAGAAAAAGAAAAAAAAGAAGATGACAACAAACCTGCTTTTGGTAGGCCCAAGAAAAACCCTCCCCGCAAAAAAAACAGGATGCAAACAAACAGAACAGAACAAACGATGCCCCGCCCCTCCACCTCAAGCATCGGTCTGCTCCGACGTCGCCGACCTCCCCGGCTTCGCGGCTGGGCCGCCGGGCCGTCGCCGTAGAGCCCCCCGCTGCCGGTGGTGCCGCCGGAGCCCAGCTTCGCCATGGTGAAGCCCGTGCGCGCGATGGCCGACAACGCCTGCGATCCGAACGGGCTGTGATCCAAGGATCGAAGTTGATCTTGCTGGTGCTCAGGGATGCTCAGCAGGGATGAGGGAAGAACCCTTATAATTGTAAACCAGCGCTTGTGGTTTGCTTTCAGGGACCGCTGGGTTCACTCCCTCATTCCCTACTGAGCACCAGCAAGTTATTTGGTCTCTGAATCGCACGCCAATTCTGTTCAGAGGTGTTTCCTTGAAAGCAGCGCGAGGAAAGTCATAGGCGTGAGAAAACTTGAAAGGAGTATGTTTTGGGCTTTTGTAAAACGTACTTGGGCATTGCCCACCGAATGGTCATCTTCTTGTTTCCTTTTGGTTTGGGCGGAAGCACAACTGTCATAATCCGCCGAATGTACGCCATGAACCCCTGATGAGCCCACCTGGGCCCAAGTATGGGGAATATCTGTATTGTATTGTGTCGTCAGGCAGTGCAACTGACAACACATGTGAGAGAAATATATAATTGCATGTGTGCGAACTTCAGTTGCACTATCTCACAGTCAGCTGGCTAGTGTTGCTGAGAGGCCTTGCTAAGGGCACAAATGGCCATGCACGCAACATGAGATGTGGGCCTTCGTCGTTGCCGGGAGGGGGGGGGGGGGTAGCAAAAAACACAAATCTGAGTAACCGACCTACCAGAAACCAGCAAGGACTACAGCACATAGTGTTCCTTGCTCTGTAGGGATCCCCTGTCTTTAGGGACCACCAGCTTCAACCAAACGGGACACATGTGTTTCAAGTTGCCCAGCTACCCAGGTAGAAAAGGGTTTTCCTTTTTTAAGGAACCCGCCCCCCAAACCAAAAAACATGGCGGCTTGCCGCTTCAGTTTCCTTTTTGAACCAAGCCCAAAAAGGTACCCACCTCCAAAAAAGAGGAGCCCAAAATCACTTGAAGCCAAACCCGAAGCTGCATGCGGCATTTGGCCGAGCCCTGGGCCTCGGGGATGCTGGCATGAAACAGTAGCCTGGGATGTTTGGCAATCGGCATGTCTGCGTTTTTGTCGGCTCGGAAGTGGAGTTAACGGGAACCAAACGGAAAGCCGGAGCATGTTCTCTTTCTTTCTTTTTCTTTGGGGGGGGCGGGGGGGCTATGTTGACACCCAGAAGGAAACATGAATCCTGTGCGCTGCGATGGAGGTGTCTGCTTGCAGGTGTCAGTCTGTCTCAAAAAGACCCACAAAGTGGTCGGGTTCCTTTTGGCTTTCCTTCAAAACCACCCCCGAAAGGGTACCCCAAACAAAAGACACCGCCGACTCTTCAGGCGAAGTGAACAATGCAAGCAATGGGCACAATGCCTGGAGCCTCCGCACTTCAACGATGCGTCGATTCCTGTTTCCTAGCAAACACAATCTATTGTGCCGGTCGCAAATCTCATTAAGTCTTGAAAAGAAAGCCCAAATTCAACTGATCACATGGATTCCATACACTTGAGAAACAGGGTCCAAAAGAGCTTGAAATGGAGGAACCCATGAAACACCGGCATACCAAACCCCAAAGCAACCCAAAAACACAGTTCGAAGACATCATCTTGGTCTCCTGGACCCTCAAACTTCCCTCAAAGAACTTAAAGCACCGCAATTTTTTGGGGCACTATCCCATCTTGGGCAGCTTGAGGCCGCAGGCCCGAGCCGAGCTTGCCACCTCCGAAGCACCTTTTGCAGGCGGATTCTGAAGCGACCGTCACCGCAGGCAGCAACCCACTGGGCGTCTGGGCCACTCATTGGCCTCTTCGCAGAAGTCCAGGTCGCTCCAGTCCAGGGCCTTGCCCGCCTCTGCAAAATAATTTGGACCCTCGACGGAGGCCATGTGCTGCTTTCGGAGTCCCGTACGACATCAGTTGAAAACCCACTCCGAAAACACAAAACACGGTGACTCCTAGCAATCTGTCCAAACACATGGGAATCTGGCGAGCATTTGTCAAAGATTTCTCCCAAGCCCTGGACCAAACCGACAATTCTGGATGTTGGGGCTGATTGACCCCTCATTTGCCAATTTGATTCACTCCACGAGCCTTTGAATTTATGCCGGGGCATGGCTCTTATGCCGGGGCATGGCTCTTGCACTCAAGGCAGACCCCCAAAAATGATCTCTTTGTTTTTCTTATTCTTTCTAAAACCAACCTGAAGAAGGTATTCTTTAAAGAAAACGCACACCTAACTCACGCTCCGCATCCTTGAACGATCGTGTACCATGTGATGCCTCCATGGTCAGCGGTGTCCACTTCTTGAACGGAGCCTCCTGCGCGAAACAACGACCAGGCGGCAAGTCAAAGGGGCAGGAGGCAATTTGCCCGATACTCCTGCAAAGGTTCACACGGAACTCAAGAATATTATTGAGAAGCCTGCCTTTTTGCCTTTCTGCCTTTCTGCCTTTCTGCCTTTCTGCCTTTCTGCCTTTCTGCCTTTCTGCTTTTCGTGGCGGTCCTGTTGGCTCAATTAGAACCATTTTGGCATGGAGCATCATAGACTACACCTGCACTTTCAGGCGAACGTTTGTGTCCTACTATATAAGTAGTCCTAAGTTGACTATCCTGCCTTGTGAACCCCACTTTCGGGTTTCTTTTGGGTGTAGTTCCTTTTCTTAGGGTACCTCTATTGGGGTTGGTTAGGCTAGGGAAACCCAAAGAAAACCAACATTTGCGGGAAACCCACATCTTTTTTTTGACACATTAACATGGGAAAACCACCATTTGCGGGAACACCAAATCCAATTCTTTGACATAGAGATGGTGCAGCGTCCCTAAATGGTGCGGCGTCCCTAACCCTCCTCCCCCCCGCCCCCAGCCCATAGTTAATATGTACGCCCCCCATGTTTCTTGCAAGGCGAACTCGAGTTTGACGATTAAGGCGAGTCGACCGTCTCCTTCAAGGGCTTTTGGCAGTCCAAGCGAGTCACCTCCTTCGACACCTCCAAGAGGACACAAACTCCAACCATATGGAGGGGGGAGGGGTATGTTTGCAGAAACAACTTGGTGAGTTGGGTGATTCTATTTTTTTCGAGGTATACAAATACCTGGTTGAGTGGATTCAGCCCCTTGAAGACGGTTTCATGTTGGCGGTCGCCTCAACCAAAATTAGGGTCCGAATCACATGCCGAGATACTCCCTGCGGAAAGGGGTTACATTGATCCAAAAGGTGAGCTTCCCGTTGAGTTTGCAAAGGGAGCTCTCTTTAACTTTCTCCAAACGTGATGCTTATAACCAAAACTACCTCAGACCTCAACTGAACAATGTGTGTGATTCTGGCCCATCACTAAACCTCAAACTCAAGCAACCGCGTTTCAGGAAATGCAAACGTTTTTGAGGCTTGGTACCCTTGGGGGTGGAGGGAAGCCAAAGAAAGCAACCCAATTTGGGGTGCCTTGCAGTTGGGAAGTTGGCACAATTCTCGCATGCATTCGCCATACCGTCTGCTCACCCATACTAAATGGAATTGTGACATCCATGTTCACCCTGACGTACTCAGAACCCGCATGATGGTTAATTTCATGCCCATGACCATCTGCCCTACCAAAGCCACCTTTACTTGACCATGGACATGGTTGAGGAAATCACGGCAGCAACTAGCCATCTACCCTACCACAGAACATGGCCGCTGCCCGCTTTTCCCCTAAACCATGACTCGCCAGCTCATGTGTTTCTTTTCACCTGTCTCTGCACATCTCCAAATTAATTAGAGTTGCTCAAAATGGGGGGAACACACTACCATCCGGCGTATCCAGGGATTCAGTTTGAACGTATACGTATATTTCCCTGCAACTTCACATTGAACCCAAACAGTGAGACACCCGATGGGAGAGTCCTGTACAGCTTGTTTTTCGGCTTCCGTGTGCACCACGACAGTACCCCCAAAAGGCCTGGTAGATGCGCCACAGGGCCGCGTTCTCGTTTCGCGTTGCTCCGACCTGACAGCCGAACCCCAGGGTGGATGCCCTAGATGCAAGAGAACAAGGAAAAACATCATTGTTACAGTTAACTCGATTATTCACCATGGGGCTTCACTTGCATTTGGGGACTCTTAGTGGGATGCCATCTCGCTCACACATAGGTGACTAAACTTAATTTCTCGCTTCTCTCGGTGAAAGCATCAAGCTGCCTTCAAAAGGCCAAGGCACAAGTTCGTAGCCGGTGGGCACCGGTGTGGCGTTTTCAAAAACGCCTCGGTCGCCCAACCCCAACAGCCTGCGCGCTGGAGACCCATCGAATTTATCTTCGAATGAATCGAGACTTCGCCAGGCTGCCGCTGGCCCAGTTCCGGTCACGCGTGAAGTTGCAGGTGCTTTTGTGCCTCGAGCTTTCCGCGAGAAACCGTTCCGGGCCCCTTTGGGCCATGACCTTGTGGACCCAACAGGTGATTTTGTTCCTGTACCGCTTCTTTGGGCAGAAAAAGGGGCCAACAAGGCGGGGTTGAGGTTGCTTTCCCTTTCCTTTTCCAAGCCAAAAGGGTTCTTCCCGTGCGACCAATTTGATCGGGCGGAACATTTGTCGCGCGGGAAACTGACTAGAGGGGTCCGGATTCATCCGAAGACAACATTGCACTTGCTGTTTGGCCATTGCTTCGAAATTCGGAGCACCCCTGACACGTTTTGCCAACACCAGTTCAGGTGCATCATGCGCAAGCACAGCTCAGGCATCATTTCTGCCAGGCTGCGACTTGTTGAGAAGATCTTGGAACCTGCGAGCATGCGGACTGAGGTTTGGGTGGGTGGAGTTTTTGAGGGTTCCATATCAACCAGGAAACCGCTATTTTACGGGCCCCTTTTCTTCCTTTTGCTTCAGCCCCGGAGAACAAAGTGTGTGGCCCGAAAGCATAATTTATGGCAAGCGCGGCGCAACGTGTCACACGCGGTCTTTGCCTTCACACACGATATAGCGCCTATCAAGGGCACTCTGCAAATGTTAATCTTGATGTCTCGTGTAAGTGCGCTCTCACGAGCTTGTTTGCGCGAGTGTGCTCGTGCAAGGCCCTCGTGCAAGTGTGTTCATGCGAGTTCGCTTGCGCAAGTGTGCTCGTGCGGGCTTGCTTGCGACTTGTCCCGGAGAATCCTTTGCAATATTGCAAGCGCAAAAGTTTGTGCAAATATCCGGTCACTAAGGTCTGTGCGTGCTGCCGTGACAATGTTTCAACGCTGGGCATTGTCGAGTCGCGAGTTTTATCTGGGCAAGCTTAGCTGTCCAAATTTCGCGCAAGTTGCTCTGCAACCAGCACATCAACACCCCTCCGCCTAAGTGATCGCACATGGTCAGAACCTTTCCAAGTGATCCCGTCCAGCTCATGGTCAGCGCCCAAGCGATCCGGTCCAGCACATGGTCAGCAAAATTGTCCAGTGATTCCGTACAGCACATGGTCTACCCCCGCCCAAGTGATGCCGTCCCGCACACAGATCTGAATGAGATTTAGGTAAGGCGGTGCGAGAGCAGAAAAAGACATGTTGAGAACATCCGGCAGCAATGCTTTAACAACCCTCAACAAACCAAACAAATCGGGTCTGCAGAAACAATGTGTTTTTGGATGACTGAAGATGGTTGCGCCAAAATCCTTTGGTATTCCCTTGCAAAACCATTTCGAAGCATTCAAGAAAGGTTTCAAAGATGATCACAAATAAACCAACAAAGTGCATGATTCCCCACGCCTGCCAATGTCTTCAATGAACAGTGGTACGGAAACGACCGTGCGCAGGATGCCCTTTTTTGCAGTTGAACACGCGTGACAACGCAGGGCAGAACGCAAGTTCCGGACCAAAACGAGCCACGGAAAACGACCGGCGGGAAGTTGTTGGTTTACACAAATCAATCAAACGGAAGCTATGTAAAACACCGAGCCGCCCCCCGCATGTTCGATCCATGTCTCGGTCGCGAACAGATCCTAGGAACTCCGGGCCTCTTGAGGAGTGCTTTGTCCTCGACCTTCACAAAGCCCTGGCAGATGTTGCAGGGCTTCCTTTAGGTTTCCCTTCAAACAAACCCCCTAGCATGGAATATGGATGTCTTTGACATTGCTTATGTTTGAGCTTGGTTGTTGAAAGGAAGCCAAAGGGACAACAACAACATTTCGAGATCGGAAGTGTTGAAAACACACGCTAGATTTTGCCCTAAACTTGTTTGGTCCCCTCTTGTGGGTGGGCCAACAAGTTAAGTTGTGATTTGGGTGTGTCCTTTTTTGAGGGACCCCATATAATGGTTGTTTTCCGCTTTGTGTCTTTAAAACAGACACCCGAAAAGGGTATATACAGAGTCTCAAAAAAGACGCTCCAAGTAGGCGCTTTGCATCTCCGAGATCGCGCGGCCTTTTCGACGAAAAGCTCCGCTGGCTATAGGAGGTGGCCTAATTATCGCATCCTACAAGCACTTTGCTTGGACTCTCACTTCCTGAATCTCTGAGTGGATTGGCCAAGAAAGTCCAAACTTGATGTTTGCCACTAATTTGGTGTTTCGAAACAACATAGACAAACAAAATACCTCAGGGAGTGAGCCGTGCTTGGACTGCTTCGTTCGCGGCCCTTTCGCTGTGCTTTGAATTCTTCTCTATGGTTTCCGCCCATAAAGGGCAAACATGCGCGAGCTCGCGGCTCCGGAGATTTTCCGCAAAGCTGCGCCTATTCATTCCGGCAAGATCTAGGATCCAGGGTCCAGGCCAAAAAATGGGACCAAAAGACCAAACTGGGAGGGGTCATGGACTATGCGAGCAGATTGAAGCTCGAAAGCGACTGAGGCAACAAGAAGGCCACGTCGACTCCTCTCGCTTGCGCCCCGACTGAAAAAGTCCAGGAAGTGGCAGAACCCGCCCCCCCCCCCCACAAAAAGAAACGAAGTCTTCGATTGTTCAACGCGAACCACTGAAATTTACCATGCCAACATTCGTATTACGATACGGCCATAGCCACACATGCACACACACACACAAACACAAACACAAACACAAACACAAACACAAACACAAACACACAGACACAGACACACAGACACAGACACAGACACAGACACAGACACAGACACAGACACAGACACAGACACAGACACAGACACAGACACAGACACAGACACCACACAAACACAAACACAAACACAAACACACACACACACACACAAACACACAAACACACAAAAACACAAAAACACAAAAACACAAAAACACACAAACACACAAACACACAAACACACAAACACACAAACACACAAACACACAAACACACAAACACACAAACACACAAACACACAAACACGCAAACAAAACACACAAACACACAAACACACACAAACACACAAACACGCAAACACGCAAACACGCAAACACGCAAACACACAAACACACAAACACACAAACACACAAACACACGCACACACGCACACACGCACACACGCACACACGCACACACGCACACACGCACACAGGCACACACGCACACACGCACACAGGCACACACGCACACACGCACACACGCACACACGCACACACGCACACAAACACACAAACACACAAACACAGAAACACAGAAACACAGAAACACAGAAACACAGAAACGCAGAAACACAGAAACACAGAAACACAAAAACACAGAAACACAGAAACACAGAAACACAGAAACACAGAAACACAGAAACACAGAAACACAGAAACACAGAAACACAGAAACACAGAAACACAGAAACACAGAAACACACAAACACACAAACACACAAACACACAAAAACACAAACACACACACACACACACACACACCCACCCACGCACGCACGCACGCACGCACGCACGCACACACGCACGCACGCACGCACGCACGCACGCACCCACGCACCCACCCACGCACCCACACACACACTCAGCCAAAATTGTGCTGATTGGAATGTGACTGCCATGATCCTTCTAATCATATTTCAAACACGCACGCACGCACGCACGCACGCACGCACGCACGCACGCACGCACGCACGCACCCACGCACCCACACACACACACACACACTCAGCCAAAAATGTGCTGATTGGAATGTGACTGCCATGATCCTTCTAATCATATTTCAAAAAACATGGAGATGCAGCATGACAAGAACAGCAAAATTGGCCCGCCCATATCCCGTCCTTCAAGAGACGCGGCAAAAGCCGCAGTGGATAGTCTGGTCTGAGACGCTCTGAATCTGCGTGGCCAGCAACACTCGGGTACTCCTTAATAATTACTCCTCATGGTCCTACTGCAATCGGTCCCTTTGCTATGGCTCTGAATGTGTGCCTAAATAGGGGGACCCCCAAATGGTCGGTTTCCCTTCAAACCAACCTACAAAAAAGGGTACCTTCAAGAAGCATGCACACCCAAACGGGCATGACATTTATTTGGGGACCCTTTGCTGGACCTGACTTACGCGGGGATTCATGACCACCAACCACATTTTGTTATGTTTGGTTAGCGCTCCATGGCCTCTGCGGTGTCTTCAGGCAGCAAGTCTGGATATCGCGCCTGGCTCGACCAAAGTGGATCCATTTCTGCGGGTTTTGGTACAAGGCCTCACCATAAGCATGGCCAAGGCTGCTCTGCTACGACGCCTATCTGGCAAAGGGAACCGATTCGTTACCAGTTTGCTTCCGGGGTTTTGATTTTGCGACAAATGTGCATTGCTATTGGAAACGAGAACGGAGCATTGAGGCAAAGCAGACTTGGGGACATGCCTGACCGATTGATCACCAGGACCAGTCATGTCCTTTCTGCCATCGAAGATGATGCACGTGGGTGTGTCTTCAAACATTTTCAACCTATGGATTCCGCAAAAAAGCGGCGCTCAAAAACGACACAACCACCGACTCCGCTGCAGATCAACCTGGAGCCCGACTCGTGTCACCCGAGATCCATCCTAACTTTGCGGGCTCCATGTTCTCAGGAAGCCAACATGCGGGAACTGCGCTATATACTTTCAACTGTACAGCCCCAATGTTTATTGCGCCGTTTGACATGGAATGTTTGTTCTCCATTTCAGTAAAGTAGCAATGTGCTGAGTCCACTCAATGTCATCCTCGTTAAAAGCAAATGACAGTACATATGGGAGTCTTTCTTTGAGGGTATCGTTGTGTGTTGGTGTTTTAAAGGGACACCAAAGGGACAACTTCATTTTATTTATTTGTTTTTGTTTGGGGGTCCCCTACAAAAGACAAATCCATTGACTTCTCGACATGTTGTTCCCCTGAGTCAGGCGCCCGAAATTCTTCCACGGTGAACCAGCGGTTCTTCTCGAGATTCTCTTCGTCGATTCTCACTTGCAATGACCGTCCTGACGAGAAAGGCGGAAAGGCAGCTCTTGACAGCACCCCTGAGAACTTTAAACATCATGAGCAAAAGAAAACTCACCTTGAATTGGCCCAAAGGTCATTTTTCAATCCAGCCTTTAAGGGGAACTACAAGGAGCTCTGTCCCTCCAACGGCTTTTGTCCCTTGTCGACCATGTGTCCATTTTTGCAGGGTGCTGATCGCCTGTGGTTGGTAAAGTTGGATGCTTGCAGGTGGCTCACATTTCGGCTCCTTCAACCAAACACCCTACTGACTGGGCTCTTCGTTTTCTGGTCCCCTGCGAAAAGTCTCACTTTTCGTGGCTTAAATGGGAAAACTGGAGGAACCGGACGTGAATTTAGATCCCGGGGGGTGTTTTGAAAACAACAGCCACGGCCACGGTTCCCTCAATTTGGACTGGCTAAGAAAACAAATCAAGACAGGTTGGATAAAAATGGTTCGAAACTGTCTAAGAGGGAAAGTATAGAAAGCCCTGTTGAACTGCTGCTGCGTTCATGTGTTTGGATACGGACGGGTGCTCCTGGTCTCAAGGACAACTTGTGGTTGAGTTTGCCCAAACAGTTATCCTTTTGCGGAATGAAATGCACTATTCATCCAAGAGCGCTTCTTTGCGAAAAGACTCGGGGCCAACTTGAGCCAACAGGCGTGCGTTCTCACAGAATCCACGGACCAGCCCCCTATAAGCAACAGAAATGTGCTTTTGCCCGGAGCCATTGCTTGAGAAACCCTGCTTGACCATTCCCCTCTTTGGAAACAAGGTTGGACACCCCATCCAAGGGATTCTATTAACAAGTAGGGGGTTGGCAAAAGAGAAGCGAGCAGCGCCCAAACCCCATCGACTTTTGCTTCTACCAACATGGTGATAGCTTGCATGTCTTGTTAGAACGCCTATGAAACTAGGTAGGAACCGAACCACCTACTAAAATGGAACCTGACTCGGGGTGCGTCGAAAGCAATCTTCCTAAAAGCAACATTCTGGTGGGTTCCATGCTATTCAAGGGTGGAACCACTAAATTAGCCCTTTCGTAGATCGGTGTTGGGCACTCAACTGGGGATCGTCCCGATGCCCTGGGGAAATCCGGGCTCGTCCCCAGGTTGTGGCTGTATTTCGAGCTTGCTCCCCATTGTCCATTTCTCCCATATGGACCACAGACTAGCCAGGAAAATGTTGACCAAACTTGCTGTGGAAGTATCTAATAAGAACTCCAAGCACTGGATGCGGGAATTGATGAAAGTGAACGGAAACAACTCCAAATCATTTGTCTCAAATACAAAAACTCGTTTCGCTTTTGAACCGTTGGACCTATTAAAATGGCCCTTGCGGGGATCGGAAGGGCGCAGCTCAAAGGTTCAACTCCCGAGGCTTCGAATGTGTACATGGGGTCCCACATGTTTATCGCTCCTGCCCAGCCACCAGACGAAGACAACAAAACTAAAGTTCGGATTTGGACAAGTCTGAAAGCACTTGGGGTTTGGATGTGTCTCGAAGGCGGATTCCGCCGATTTTTCAGGGCGGTCCTTCTTTGGTTCTCTTTGAATATCCCTCCATTTGCTTAAGTCCCCTGAACAACATTAAACCATGTCCAGTAGTAATAGATTCCCTGTAAACCCAGCAGGGGAAAATAACCAAGACACACCCAATGGA